GTTTAAATAGGTAATCATTTGGGGGTCTGGAATGGGTTAAATTCATTTACTGTACAATATTTCTTATGGTGAAATTTGACTTGGACCTCCATCAAATCACAACTCGACCAGCCTTCTGGAACTAATTAAGTTCGTGTTCCATGGTACCACTGTAATGTAATACATGCAACATATTGTGCTGAATATTCTGCTGTATTTTGGCATAAAAAATGTTTTTCAGTTTATGCAATGTGACAGTATGTTTGTTGTGAATATGTTCTGTAGGAGCTGATTTGACCGGGTTTGTGGCAGCTGGGAATTCCTTCCTTGGCCTCCAGGTGGAGCTGCAGAAGTTTGGCCTGCAAGAGTGACTCAGACCCTGAATTGCCGTCTTATTTGCCTATCGCTACTGCACGCAAATTATCCCAGCCATGATAATTACTATTCTGTAGTATTTCTTATTTCTTAAACTGACCATACTGGCATGAAAGGAACATTTTAATTTTCCAAGCAAAGTAATGATTCTGCCTAAATCACAATTATGTAGACGTACAGATTGGTTCCTATTAATGTGGTTTCCAAATGTTCCCGCTATGCTCCATTTTAAAAGTTATTCTTTTCAAAATATTTCATAAAATGTAACGTAATAATGACTATATAATTTAATTTGTTACAGCACATTATTCTACTTTACTTATTAAGCTACAAAAAGTTTACACTGCCTACAAATCAGAATGTGATGTTGGGATCTCAGTTCAATGCTGCAGAACATAGGCAAGAATCTAAACTGACACAAGGTAAAGACGGGTAAATCCCTCCATATACGTCCTGTGCTTGGTGATGCGAGTTCTATGAATTACTTTTACAGTATTAGTTGTAAATTAGTGTTAATTGTTAGTCGTTGTGATTGTGCCCTTTCATCACTCCATGACTAATCAAAACACAGTCAAAGTACACAAACACCACTCTGTACATTGCGTGTAACACAAAACGAACGATCAGGCAACAGAAATGGATTAGCGACATGGTAGTCAAACAACCGAAACCAAAAATCGAGTGATCAACAGAAGTGAAACAAAGGTACCACAAGCCAAAGTAAATTACTGAGAATACAATCAAACCAAAAGGCAGCAATAATACTATGAAAGGAGCAAAGCTAGATTCTTTCAGGTACGGCGAGATTTTGAGCTGGTAAAGGGGAACCAGAAGCAGGGATATGGAGGGAAGATCTGCAACGGAGTAGGTGGACCGGACTGTAGCGACCGGAATGGCCAAGAGCTAGAGTGGAGGAATTCCACTGACTCCATTGGCAATTCATTGGCTTTGCCATGTGTCCAACTTGCCATGGGCTGGATTGGACATCAAGCAACAGCTTGTTCTGCTAGGTCTGCTTGTCTTTAATGTTGTTCAGTTGTCCGTCCTTAATTTTGGAATTTAACCCAACAAAGCATGGACCACATTCACTTTTCACGAAGTGGTCACGGTCGTATCAACCTCATATCAAAAGTAGCCTAGTTTGATGATGATTTAGCGCAGAGGTGACAAACTGCAGTCCTGGGGGGCCGGAACCCTGTGTAGCTTAGTTCTTTTCCTGTTCCATCACAAGCGATTCGGCTCTAGAGCTGTGTGGTAATTAGCACAAGGAGTTGAATCAGGTGTGTTAAATGAGGGTAAACCAAAAATGTGCAGGGCTCTGGCCCCAAAGGACTGGAGTTTGAGACCACTGATTTAGCATTATGATATTCCCTTCACCAATCTTTCTTTTTTCTAATAGATCAATAAACCAATAAACATGTGCTTTTCTAATTAAGTCATATTCATATATTCCCATTCCGTGTAAATTAATCCAGGAGATCCCTGTAAGATCCAGAAACACTAACGATTCCCGTCTCAGCACCACGTGGTCAAACGCGGAAGCGCAAACCGACATTTAAGGGAGTGGCGTATTGATGCTGCTTATTACGAACTGCAAGTATAGGAGTGAGGACTTAATTTTTTAGAAACTGGTAAGTAGACGGATTTAAAGAATGTTTTTTTTATGTTTTCCATAATCGTAAAACTGATAATTTATGAAACTATCTATACTTTTCCTGTAAATCACTGTAAATATATATCAGTAGTTTTGTTTCAGATTCTTACTCGAACAGTTCTTAAACGTTCAGTTTGACTGTAGAAATTTTTACAAATTTTTATCTCCTCATTAGTTTCCGAATACATGCATGATCTAGGATATGAGGAAAGTGGTGCGTATAGAGACACGGGCGTAATAGCCTACTGGCAATCAGATGAACTATGCAATGACTGCAGTTGTCTATAGTTAAATTTACACTACACTGCACTACAGTAATTTAAACTACGTATATTACTGTCTGTCAAAATATACGGCACTGCACTGTATGATTTACAGTAACCTCAATATACCAGTCAAGCTGTGAACATAGTACAGATGTAGTACGGTAGTAAATAAACGGCCATTATGCAGTATAGTGTTTGAAGGCATGAACTATTCTGAAAGTTGCCTGTTAATTTCCATGGTGCTTCTGAAGACTCACTGCAGTCCTAGATTGGAGAACAGGTTACTAAATGTGGATGGAAGTACATTCTTAAGTCATTTAATACAGCTGGCTCTACAGTGAATAGATATGCGCTCTAGCAGTTTACTCAAAACAATGCACATTATTTAACCTTGAAATCAAAGTTACATATTCAGCAAAATATTACAGCGTATTACCCAGGAACGGCAGCAATATCAGGGCTTACCGTGAGACACGCATCTCAACCAGTTCACACGCCCATACGCCACGTGCGCTGCGAAGTAAAGGACAGCGCCCACCAGGGTGTCCCGTTATTAACGAGGTGCAGGAAATAAGGAGTGCAGTTTTAAGCGGAGTTCACAACTGCATGTTATACGTCGTTAATATCTCCTACCAGCCAATCAGAAAATAGCATCTGTTTGTTTCCGGGTAAATTCCAAAATAAATTACCCTTGATCCCGCTGCAAGCTCGTTATTACATGGATGCGCACACGGAGTGCGGACGAGGTGGAAGAACAAGATCCGATGACGGCGGTAGGCAGGGCTCTCTTTGGCATTTGATAACCGTGATACACACGCTCCGCCCCCAACCCATCTAATCTCACTCCAAACCATTGATGAAACTTGAGGGTCCTAGCAACATACTTTCAAAATTCCCTGGAACTTTGTTCATAGTGATTTTGGTGGCTGCCCTCGTTGAAACACTGGTGATCTATGGCTCAAATGATAACAAACCTTGCGACTGGTTAATGTGTATGAGAAAATGCCTGCTCTGCCTTCAAATACCGTTCTGTGGGAGAAAAAATGTGTACTGCTAGTTGAGAAATTTTTAGCAAATGCAGAACAATAACTTCAGTGCAAACAAACAAATGGATTTATTGAGTAATTATGACTACAGCTTTTCAACCACAGGATATATAAATGTCATATACAGTGGTACCTCAGAACTCGAACTTAATCCATTCAGAACTCTGGATCGAATCCTAAAAAGTTCGAGTTCTGGTCGAATTTTCCCCATAAGAAATAATGGAAAACCAATTGGTTCCTGACCTCAAAAAATTACACCTAAATATGTTTTTAGCATTTAAACACAAAATTAACTGCATAAAACAAGAAGAGCATATATACTGTACTAAACACATCTAAGCAC